TTCTTTGGCGGCGCAGTCTTCACCCGAATCTTGGGTCGTAGACTCGTAGCCAAGAAGATGAACAAGGACAAGGCTCCGATGCCGGGAGATGGCGGCCCCAGCGACGGCTTGCCGCCACAGTCCACGCGCCGTGCCGGGGCGCCGCCCTCGTCGTCGACCCCGCCACCGGAGTACGACATCAGCCGCATGCCGGACTTCCCTACCCGGAGCACCGGCCACCGGCGCGCGCACTCCGAGATCCTGGGCCTACCCGACGACCTCGACCTCAGCGCTCCTGGAGGCGGCGACGGACCGTCGCTGTCGGACGAGAACGACGAGGAGCTCTTCTCCATGTTCCTTGATGTGGACAAGCTGAACTCATCGTTCGGGGCGTCGTCGGAGGCCGAGGCTGAGTCCTCGTCCGCCGCGGGTGGCGGCGGTGAGGGGGCTGAGCTGGGCCACGCGCCCAGGCCAAGGCATCAGCACAGCCAGTCCATGGATGAGTCCATGTCGATCAAGGCGGAACAGCTGGTGGGGGCGCCGGGGATGGAGGAGATGTCGTCTGCAGAGGCCAAGAAAGCAGTGTCTGCGGCGAAACTGGCTGAGCTTGCTCTTGTTGACCCAAAGAGGGCTAAAAGGTCTGTTTTCTCACAGAATTGTATGTTTGTTCTTGTGAAATTTCATCTATTTTGCATTTTTTTTTTGCATGGTACTTGGTTCGGTTGGCCTGATTTATTTTTGAAACGGACTTGGCTACGATGATTTGGACTTGGCTGCGTTATTGATTGATCATTTTCATATCAAATGATTGCATCAGTAAATCTGCCTTTGCTATATTCTTAGCTAAAGGGAGGTTAGTGCATTATTTGTTGAACATTTTCACAGAACAGGTTGCTGAGAGGCAAGGTGGACCAGTAGATGGTAGGCGAGACTGAGGGCGAAATTTCGTAGCGAATTTTAACTAAGAATCTGATTCTTAGTTTCAAAGAGCCAAAGAGTGTATTAAGGGTTTCTTTGCACAAGTAGTATTGAGGGTGAAAATGTCTGATTCCCATAGCTTCATGTTTGTTCTTGTGAAATTTCTTCTACATATAGTCCTTTTACATACAAATCAGTTCAGCTGGCCAGTCTTACTTTGAATGACTACATTATCTGTTTGTCATTTCACATCAGACAGTTGCATCTGGAAAGCTTTCTCTGGGTGGAACTTTGAATGAATGTAAATGGTATAAGTAATCAAGGTTTGCTTCATAGAGTGGGTCAGGTTATAAGAAATATTGGTCACATTACAAGAAAGATAGGTCATGGGCAGGTGAGAGGAATAAGAAATATCGCATTCATATGGCCAAACAATCAAAGTGTGCAAGTGTGGTTTGTTCCCTCAGTTTTAGAGTCCTTCCATTGCCATCTTTCAGAATGATCATTCTTCAAGATAAATTGAATTTATGCTGCGAATAAGCATACTTATACTGATTTATTATCGGTATCATTTAACAGGATTTGGGCTAATAGACAATCTGCTGCAAGATCGAAGGAAAGGAAGATGCGATATATTGCTGAGCTCGAGCACAAGGTGCAAACCCTGCAAACAGAAGCCACAATATTGTCGGCTCAGCTAGCATTGCTGCAGGTAGGCACTATTTCTCTGGAGCCCCCTTATGGATTTTTCTGGTTTTGAAGTTAGTCTTGAACTGGCTGCTGGGGTTCTTCCTGAGATCATCAAGTTTTAGGAACTGATAGACAATTAATGTATACTGAAGAAGCATGATTTAAGAAATGAAACTGGCCACCGAGTCGCTGGAACTCACAGTCTGTGCTCGAGCCTGCAGTTGAATAGCTGATGTGCGGTTCAAATTATGTTAGATGCCTTAATATAATTCCATACACAACCCCGCTCCTGGCTCCCTTCTACCGCATGCACGGGAACCCAGGACCTGTGTTCTGCACTTCCTGCTCTCATCAACATGTGTTTTTAGGTATCTACATGTGTTTTTAGGGATCTACAGCAGTCCACATTGATGGCTTTTAATCCATACTATTTATTGCCTTGGCATATGCATGATAAGCATAGTTTGGGCGTTTAGCATAGTCGTTTGATTACAGAGTGCTTAAATGCTATTTAATTTTAATCCAAGGTGAAGTTATAGCTTTTTCATTGTCATAACTCATAACCATGGCTAGTGTTTTTTGGGTGGTAACTTGGGACTTTTGGAGAGATCAGGGGTTTGATCCTTGAATCCTTCCATATTTATGTCATACCAGCTGCCAGTTTCTTTTTGGGTGTGAATCAGCTCTCTGTCCTGTTTTAAAAGGATGTGCTAAAGTAGAACTATCTGTTAAGAACCATTTGATCTGTCCAATATATTATCATGGTTCTTCTCAGATGTTGCCATTTTTTTTAATATAAAATAGTATTGAGTAAATTTGCTTTCTTTATGGAAAGGAATGATGTTCCATCAATGAAAGACGTAATATCTGTACAATTGTACAAACACAAGTGGCATCGAGACATGTCTTGCATTGCACAAAACACCACATTCATGTGGTTTACTACAGTAGAGGCAGATGTGATGAGATACATCTTGGAAGGATCATTTTCTAAGTTGCGATATCTCATATCCCTGTGGTTTGAAACTATTGATCAAAGTAGGCCATAATGCCATGCTAGTTTTGGAATGGCTTGATGGTTTTGTGGGCATTTCTTTCCTCCTTGTTATTAGTGAGACATAGCCTTTATCCCTTGTTAGGTCTTTATACCATTCACATAGTTACCCAACTAATAGGAGGTGCTTGGTGTTCCCTAGATGGATATAATGTTCAGAAAAAAAATATTGTTAGAGAGGGTGTACTTTATACTAGTTTCATATGTCACACAAGTGATATTTTTGTTTGTTGTCATATTATCTTAATGATTGGCCAGAACTATGCTGTGTACAGAAAAGTACGCTGTATTACAAAAGTTTTGACATCTTAAAGCTTAGTGAAATGAGGTCCCAACTTGCAATTTCTCATGTTGTATGGAGCATCATTCCTTTCTGGAGCTACCAATTAATATACAAAATACTTGTGGATCACACCTAGATGCTTCACTATGCTCATGCGATTAATAACAGCTATTCTGCTCATTTACCTTGCTCTTGCTACTAACTGTTATTCTACTTGTGTCGATATGTTAGAGAGACACCACTGGACTAACAACCGAGAATAGTGAGCTGAAGATTCGCCTGCAGACCATGGAACAGCAAGTCCACTTACAAGATGGTAATATTCATCCGACCCTTATGACTGATGGATTTTACCTTGTCCAACATTCTAGTTATTAGGTCTACTGCAGTAACAGTTAATTTCTGCATGCTACTATTTTTTCCTACTTTTCCTATGCATGATGTTTAGCCTACCCCAACTTGCTTGGGACTGAAAGGCTATGTTGTTGTTGTTGTTGTTCCTATGCATGATGCCAGAGCCTGTGTGCATGCGAAATATATGAGCATAGTTCACTAGTGTTTGCTGTTCTTTGTGCAGCTTTGAATGACACACTGAAAGCAGAGGTCCAGCGGCTGAAGGTGGCAACAGGACAGGTGGCCAATGGTGGTGGAGGGATGATGATGAACTTTGGCGCCATGCCACGCCCGTTTGGAGGCAACCAGCAGATGTTCCACAACAACCAAGCGATGCAATCCATGCTGGCAACACACCAGATGCAGCAGCTCCAGCTCCACTCCCAGCCTCAGCAGCAGCAGCACCTGCACTCGCTGCAGGCGCAGCAGCAGCAGCAACTGCACTCGCTGCAGGCGCAGCAGCTCCAGCAGGTGGCGAGAGACCTCAAGATGAAAGGGCATCTGGGCGGCCAAGGCCAGTGGGGCGATGGGAAGTCTGGGAGCAGCGGCAGCTGAGCCTACTGGCACGGGAATTTTGGTGTACGTGGTGGTTAGGAGTGGAGATCCCTTGTTTTGGGGATGTTGCTGTGCATGTGTAGCTATCGTTAACTCAGTTATCTATCTATAGGCTCAGTTCAGCTTCAGTTTATCGTTAACTTGGTGATCTATTGGCTCAGGTCACCTGCAAGGCTGCAACGTACTTCAGTTCAGAAACTCGGATGGTAACAGATGTTTATCTGCTGGATTTTGTTTGTATCTCTTTGCTAGTTTAAGGGTAAAAATGGTTGGAATTTCAGGGTTTCAGATGGAATCTCCCGTCTGTCATGTACTCAGGTAGCTCGGTACTGGACTACTGGATGTATTGCTATTGCATTTAGATATGTAGCCTGCCTTGGCTGCAGTGGTGGTGTAGCATTTAGAATTGTTTGACTCCTTGGTAATCGAGAATTGTTTGACTCTTCGGCGAAGAAGCGAGAATTCCATTTTTTGGGGAACATAGGGAGTACAATTCTAGAGTTCACATCACCAAATTAAAGAGCAGCACGCTTGAATAGTAGTACTAGTGAGAACGATCCTGCTGCATTAGCAGAACAACCATCAGGGTTCCACGGTGAGCCTGCATTATCGCTGTATGCCTGTATAGTTTATGGTTAACTCAGTTACCTATATATAGCTATCAACAGTTCTGTTGCGAGTTCAGTTCAGAACTTCGGGTCGACAGTCTCGGATGGTCCTGGATGAAATTTGGTTGCATCCTTTTCAGTTCCCTAGATAAAGGTAGTCTCGGATGGTCCTGGTGGAGTTTGGTTGCATCTTTTTCAACTTGCTATTGCTAGTTCAAGGGGGCAAAATTGGGGTTCTCGGATGTGTCGACGCAGCATGGTTCGGAGGTTGCCGAGCCTGGAGGAGGAACGTCGCTACCTGCGCTGACCAAACGCAACCATCCGTTCGGCAAAAAAAGGACGCGACTAATATCCTTGGTCGGGTTGGTGCGCGCCGGGTGCACCCATCGGCACCAAACAACCCCTTGTTTACCGTTTCTGGTTCAACCACTAGTCCTATCACAATTCACACCACCCCCCGACCCAGCATATAGCCGCCGTCACCCGCGTGGCCCTCCACCCGTGCACTGCACTGCACGCGATGCCGGAGCCCGCGGGGTACGCGCCGCTGGGCGCGGTGGAGCGGCAGCGGCGGCGGGCGCTGTTCCTGCAGAGCTACCAGTTCTCGGTGGAGCGGCGGCAGGGGCCGGCGGAGTGGCTGGGCCTGGGCCTGGGCGGCCGCCTCGCGCGGAGGCTGCGCGAGGTCGGCGGGGCCGTGGCGAGGGCGGCCGGGCGCGTGCGCGGCGCGGCGCGCTGGTGGGTGGGCGCGGGGCTCGCCAGGGCGTGGCGCGGGTGGAGGCCGCGCGCGGACCCGCTGCTCGGCTGCTTCGGCTCCGCGGCGCACCACAAGTACTACCTGCACGACTACGCGTGACGCATCGTCATCGACGACGCATGTGTATGATGCACAGCAAAAACGTGCTGCTACGTTACGCGGCTGCTTTGATTCTCAAGTATGTGCCGTGGTGTATTATTGATTTGTTGCAACTGTATACTGTGTACTTGTGCAGCGTCTGGCACACTGTCTGTGTGCTACGTGCCTACGTCCTTTGTGAAATGCATCTACTAGCATATTAATTAACATATCTTTTATTTTCTTCTCGAATACACAAGAGGGCTGCACATATTTTTTATATAGATAGAAGAAATAAATGTTTACACGCACGACCAGCCGTGCTAAACTTGAGACATGCTATATGGCAAACTGAACCACCATCAAAATGCCCATCTAGAGAGAACCTCAAGCTAGTGCCCTATTCACTTGGCTGATAAGTCATGGCTCGTCCCATGGACTTAAGAAAACAACATACCACGTACCGTGTTTACGTACCACGACCCCAACGTTTTGAGAACTTGGCTGCTATGTGCTGGATGCTAGTGGTGTTTGCGCCTCCGGTTCCCGCCCCGACGGCCAGAATTGACTGGCACAGGCGCTCCCCCTCCCCCTCCCCTATGTTGCAAATATATGTTTTAAGTGTTTCAGATGTTTTAAAGGTATGTTGCAGTTGTTTCATATGGATGTTGTAAAATTAGATCGGGTGTTGCACATGTTGCATATGTTGCGAGTGTTTCAGAGACATGTTGCAAGAGTTTGTTTAAAAATGTCTCATCTGTTCCATATATATGTTGCAAGCATTTTGATCTGGATGTTGCATATGTTTCACACATATGTTGCAACAGTATGTTTCAAATGTTTCATCTGTTTCATTCTTTCGTTGCAACAAGTGTTTTCATGTTGCATGTTGCAAGAGACAGTGTTCTATCTGGATATTGCATATGTTTTCACATATATATTGCTAAGTGTATGTTCCAGACTGTTTCAGACGTATGCTGCCTCAAGTGTTTCATGCATGCTGCACATGTTTCATGCTGTTCGAAGAGTCAGGGGGCGTAGGGGAGCGATGGTGGCACGGCACGGGCGCCGCGAAATGGGCACGGCGAGCCTATGGCCAGCAGACGTGGCGGGTGGCGCGTTGGGTTCAGCGATCGGGGGCACGAAGGGGTGGGGTGAACGGATGGGGGCGGGGTGCACGGATGTGGGGTGGGTCGAATCAAGGAGGACGGGGCGGATTGCGAGCGAGTCAGTATGGACGCGACGATGACGCGATGCGCATGCGGGCATGGCGAATTAGCAGACGGGGGGCAGGCTATGCAGGCGTGCGGGAAACGGTCGTCTGACGGATTCCTATCCCGTTGGACGTCCGGAACGTGAGGGAACATGTGACGAAAATATGATCTTAGGTTTCCTCCGTTTGATCACATAGGTTACACAATGGGCGGGCGTCCAGGCCGTGGCGCCAACGATGATCCGCTGTCCAATGTCTGCGTTTTACTGCAAGGGTGCCCAACACTTCCAAATTAACAAACAGACCTTTCAAGGGCGGAGCCATAAAGTTAACATGAGTAGAGATTTTAGCTTATGGCGAGATCCCTCCCAGGATGTCACCCGTTGCGCGCGCAGCCAACTCGATCGGCCATCCGTTGCTAATTTATTCACGCCTCACGAAGATTACCGTACCTAACCTACCGGAGAGGACTGAGGAGACAGGAGATGCAGAGAAGTAGAGACCATCTGTATCGTTACGGATCTTACGGGATATACTTCCTCCGATCAGCACCGATTTCTTTGTACTGAAACATGAACTATCTGCTGCCTCAGTGTGCGTGCTGCCCCTCTCGTCACTTGGATCTGCAGGCTGCAGCGGTGCACAAGATATACTTGTCCGAGTCTGGCCGACTGATGATGGGTCTACTCTTCGGAACAAACTACACTTTGCCACATGAAGTCACAGGTTTATGCCCAAGAAACCAAAAAATTTGCCAAGATGGCCATCAGAAAGTTTGCTGTTCACGTGCCACCGGCCTTTGGCACGATCTTGACTCGTAGGTGGCTCTAAACCTGACAAGCACAAATAGGCACTCCGCAATCATAGTCCTGGCCCGCGCTCTTCATTCCTCTCTCTCACGTCTAAATGAGCTCATACACCACATTCGCATTTTGCTAGCGAACGGCGTTGTGGCCGGCGGCCGGCGTACGTGCCAAGAGATCCAAAGACCCATGAGCAGCAGCGTGGCCTCAGCTTCCTCCTCTCCACCGACGCCGCCGTCACCGCTGCCGGTCAGCTTCGGACCGGGACTGGAGAGGTACGCCTTCACGCCATCCCCGTCGCCCTCGCCGCCTTTCTCTCCGCCCGGTGGTTCGTCACCGCTGCTACGGGTGGTGCGCTCGGAGCCGAAGCTACATTATTCTACGCTGTCCATGGACAAGATTATTCACCAAGAACTGGCGCCTCGACGACCTACCATGCCGCTTGATCTCAGAACGTGGTAACTAAACAAGCAGTGAACTGCTAACACTTCTATAGCACTCCTGTATATTCTTGTGTCTAGCTGGTTGGTTCAGGGAGGTTCAATCATCTATATATGTTTGCCTTGATTGCAGTTTGGAGTGGCTACTAATGCTGGTGTGCTGCTGTTGCTCTTCTTCTAATAATAATTAATAAGCCGTGAGCGATCGAGGAAACATGCCTTGTACTAGCTATGCAAGAACTTACTATGCCACACAGCAAACTTGCTTCCAAGATCAAGATAACTTGTACTAGCTATGCCAAGAACTTACTTCCATGTGCCTTATTAATTCACCGCAGATAATCGAGTGATCAAATATCTAGATAAGCGTGGAGTGCAGCCCCAAACCCACAGTCCACATCCGTACCAGACCTCTACGGAGTCTCTTGCAGAAGGAGCAGCAGCTTCATCTGATCATCTCTGTAGGCAACAATTGTAAAGCGTGCTGTGAGTTAGAAGGGTATGTACTCCCTCCGTACTAAAAACAATATCGCATATGTTTATGCAGGTTAAACCTTTTTAAATTTAACTGAGTTTATAGAAAAAATATTAGCAACATTTATTTGATTTCTCGAAAAATGAAAATGACACTCTTGGCGGGACAAAGAGAGCAGTTTACTGTGTGTTTGCATTGAGGGTTGGGGTGGGATATCCCGGTTTGGACCCAGATGGCCTGTTATTTGGTTTGGAGGTCGGGCTGTACTGGGTCGAACCCAGATGGAATATGCCCTCCAGATGTGGGTTCATCTGATTCCTCCGAATCGTGGGGACCGTGCGGGTTCAACTGGGTTTAACGAAGCGAGCTCGGACGGGGAGCCGCGGCAGCACGTGGACGGACGGACGGGGAGCCGTGGCAGCACACGGACACGAGCGCAGGGCGACCACGCAGCCATGGCGGCGCGGGTGTAGGATCGAGATGGCGGACTATAGGGGTGAATAGTCCTTTCTAAAATTAATCGCGCCAGCTAACAGAAACAAATGTGAAATTAAAACTATCGGTCTAGCCAAGACTATACCTCTCTATCTAAATTCTCAAGCACCTTATAAAAGATCCTAGTTAAGCAAAAAAGATGCCGGACTAGCTAGAGTTCACCTAACAATTCTAGCTTGCAAGGTCATACAAACCCTCATAAACTAGTACTTCAAACAACCGGGAGAGCTCCTACACAACTAGTGATGCAAAGCACACAAAGCTCCTAAGCTCACTAGCAATGCTCAATAACAAGGCTACACAGGCCAAATTAGAGAGCTCAAATTACTTAGCTACACAAACTAAACAATATGACTGACAAGGTTACCAAAATCAAATTAGCCACGCATGGGAGCTACTTCTATGCTACACAAGCAAGAAGGTAATTAGCAAGCTACACAAGTAAATTAATTACAAGAGCAACTACACAAGCACAATGTATGAAATATAAATACAAGCTTATGTTTCGCGAAATGCAAACCACCGAGAAGATGACGAAGACAATGTTGACATGGTGATTTTCTCTTAAGGTTCACTTGGTTGCCATCAAGCTACGTCCCCGTTGTGTCGACCGCTCACTTGGTGGTTCGGCGACTAATTGGCATCACTCACCAAGCCCGTACGTCGGGCACTGCAAGAACCTACCCCGAAAGTGAGGGTAGCTCAATGACACGCTCACCTAGAGTTGCTCTTCGCGATCCTAGCGGGGTGAGCACAATCCCCCTCACAAATCCTTCTCCGGAGCACCGCACAATCTTCTCATGTGCTTCAACGGAGTCATAAGCCAGCAAGCCACCTAGGAGGTGGCAACCTCCAAGGATAACAAGCACCACCGGCTTGCTACTCGATCACCTAGTGTCATTTGATGCAACCTCACGATGCAATTGCACTAGAATCACACTCACTCGTAATCGGATGCAACCACTATGTGCACAAGTGAGTTAGAGGCTCTCCTAGCACTCCCCAAGCATGGACACTAAGTCCCAAGGGTGCTAAGCATGTGCCAAGGCCGGCCACACACTCCTTTTTAGCCCTAAGGGCTCAAATAGCCGTTACTCCCTTCATCCTGATTTCTGCGCACTAACCGAACTCACCCCAGAGTCCGCACTGACCGAACTCATCCTCGTGCGCGACGTGTACTAGCAATTCGAAGATGACCATTGCTCGCCAACAGCTAGCTCCCGCACGCGCATACTCTTGACTGGATGCGCCTAGGTCCAGCGACCGGACACGCCGAGGCCGAGTCTGATCACCAACGCGCCTCTTCACAGCGGACTGGACTCCCTTTTCTCCTATGACCAGACTCGACTCTCCTACAGTCCGGTCACTTCCAGAGAGGTTCTAGAGAGCTCTTTTGATGATCGGACGCGTCAGGTCATCACTGACCGGACTCTCCATGCGTTCGGTCGCTCCTGGATGCGTTAAAAACACTGACCGGACTCTCGACCGGACTCGCAGGTACTGACCGGACGTGTCCAGCCACAGAGTCCAGTCACAGACCTTTCAGCGCTAAAACGACTATAACTCTTAGCTCCAAACTCTGATTTTGATGATCT